ACAAATATTATTTACAAATATGATTTTGATCAGAAATTAATACTGGTAAGAAAATAATCGTGTAAAACTTGACACTACACATGTTTTAGACACCTTAAACTGAATGAATTTTTAGAATTTAGCATGAAGTGTATTTTGATCAGAAAGGGGGTACCATGGTAAAGAGTAGAAATGAACCCAGTAGATAAATGCTGCTCTGGGCATCTAAACCTGTTTGAAATAATAAAACAATGAAGTTAAGTGTGGCTCATTTTCCATTAGAGTGAAACATCTCATCTGTAAATGAGTATGAACTCGGCATTCAATTAATCAAAATAAGGCATTAATATTTTCAAGTGAAGAAGTTGACGAGTGTTTTGTGCAAATAAAATAATGATCTTAAAAGTGTCTTGACAGACTTCTGTGTTAATTACACGGTTAAAATGGTAGTCTTAACACTGTATTAGTATTTCTTGTTAACATCACATAGTAATATTGAGATGTTTCAATATTAGTACTTTGAACAGCGGTGATCAGAATGAAACATGGATAATCTGCATAATCATAAAACTTATTAAATGCGTAAGTATGAGAGTACAAATTAATTTTAAATCGTGTGTGTGTTTGTTTTTTTTTCCTGGCTCCAAAAGTTGAAGCCCTCATTCTGTCATCAGTGGACCCAGCATGGATAACTCGTGCAATTCTCCTAGAAGTAAACAAAGAGACCCTTCTTCCATATTCAGATGAGTGCCCTTGTCAAGGTTTCTGCCAGAATTTATATAACTTTCAATGAGTTTTGTTCCATTACAGCCACGTGAAGATGAGACACATTTTATGCTGGCCACACGTCCATTTTTATTTGTTATAGTGTGCTGTAAAATGTGTATTGGAGCTTTTACATCATTTGTGTTAGACAGTTATAACAATGAGTATTAATAAGCACCCAAGACATGACTTTTGTTCTAATCCCTTCAATCTCAAAAATCATTGATAGGTAGATGAAGAAAAACTTAAGTATGACATCCAATATGCCAGGTGCGGGTCCCCAGATTTTTCAGTAATAATTAATTTTAACTTCTTACAAAACTTTTAAGCAAAAATATTTTCAGATCATCATTAAAACAAATAGAATTGATTCGCATCATGAGCTTAGTTTAACCTCCATCATTCTAAACAATCCGTGAAATTGCACATTCGACCAAATTATTTTAAATAAAAACTATGGTAATTTATCGATCACATATGACTGTCAGGCATTTATATAGTATTCCTAGAATAGTGATGTAATTCTCAAAAATGGCTCAACATTTTTTCTTCAAATTTCATGTAAGAATATAATAAAATACACTTATAAAGGTAGCATAAGTCTGATTTTTGCTGTTAAGTCTCAATTTTTGATAATTACAGAAGTTTGACTACTGTCCAAAGTTTGAGATCTTGGAAAACCGTCTTTAAAATTTGGGGATACTTTACGTAATAAAGCCCATCAGACATTTTAAAAAATTTTCTCAAAACCTGTTTAAAATCTTTTCTTTAAATTTCTTGTAAGAATAGAGTAACGTACACTTATAAAAGTGATGTAGGTTTGGTTATCATGGTTAACTCTCAATTTTTGAAAATTTCAAAAGTAGGAATTTTTTATGCGTCTTCCTGCAATGACAAAATAATAGATAGAGATTTCTCCTTGAAATTAAATTTGTTGTCAATAATTAGTTCTTTCATTAAGGTGATGGACATTTTTTGAGACTTTTTAGCAGTTTTGGAAAAATTTTGCATGCAATATATGCAATTAAAAAAAATTACAAAACAAGTTTTTTTCTAAAGACTGGTCTAAATTTTTTCTTTGAACTTTTGGTAGGGATAGTGCTAAATGTCGATTCAATGAGATGACATAAACGCCATATTGCTCTATTCTTTTCTTTTTTTCAAAAAGTACAGAAATGTAGTTTGTTTGACTTCTCTCATGTTGTTATTATTTACATTAGTGGCAATTTGTTCTCAATATTATATTTATGAGTACATTGTTTTAAATAATGTCATAAAGTTTCTCAAAAACTCAACTGGTTTCTGTGAAAATTCTCAAAATTCTGATTTTTCAGAAATGCTCAAATGCCATTTTATTAAAAACGGCTCTAAATTTATCCTTCAATCTTTTTAAAGGATAGTGCTAATTGCATTCTTTAAAATAACGTTAAGTTCATTTTGGAAATGTTTTTGATTTTTCAAAAATTATACAAATGTAATTGTGTTTATGATTTCACATGCCGTTAATATGCTGAAATTTCCAGAAATTTGTAAACACTATTGCATTTGTAAGTTGAAGTGCTTCAAATGACTTCTAATGAAGGTTTTCGATAACTCAAACATTTGTTGTGAAAAAGATCTTCATATATCAAACTTTCAGTAGCGCTTAAACACCATATTAGTAAAAACGGCACCAAATTTTATCAAAGAAAATTGACATTTAGTACGAGATTTTACTATTCTTTAATATTGGTAAAATAGTATTTAATAAAATAATAAATAAATAATATTACGAAACCGAAATATTAAGAAAATAAAAAAAAAAGTCCCTGATGCAGCGATAGAAGGCAACTGTCAAGAATATGTGACAAGTCCTAGCTAGTTGAGACCAAAGGAAATAGAAAACTAATACGGGACAGTCTGTGCCATTCCGTAGGACCATTAGTTGAGTCTCTCATGTTGATACTATTTGCTAACTAATTTAAAACCATAAAGTATTCATTAAATATTAATATTTCAATTTTGTTAAAAGCATTTTATTATAAATATATATAATCATAATCCTTGTATATAATTTATATCATATTTGTATGTGTAAATAAGACGTACAAATTCCCGCTCCCAAATTTGTCTCTGGATCTGCCCCTGAATATGCTTACTAAACTAAACATGAGACATTTAGAGTTGTCATATGATCTCAGAATTTGTGAGAAGTGTTGCAATTAAAGCTGATCTTAGCTAACAAAATATTGCAGAAGCAGCAATGGTCAACTTCAGCACTAATAAATCTAGTCGAACTGGTAGTTCGAATTTCACTGTGCCAGTGTTGGACTAACTGAATGATGGTTTAATGTCTAGGAGAAACTCCAATAAAGAAGAAAAAAATATTTCAAAAGATATATCCTGGACAGAAGCTTAATAAAATAAAGCAGACACTCCAAGAAAAGAAAGTCATGTTGATGAAAAGGAGGCCAAAGAAACATCAATTAGGTCAAACTACAATGTAATACAGAAACTGATTGATTGTTTTAAAAATTTTTATGACCAAAATGTTAAAATTAAACTTCTTTAACTTATGTGTAATATTTTCATATAATGACATATCGTGTTCTGATATGTAAAAAGAAGCTAGTTTGAATTCTTTAGCTGTTTAGTAAAGGAGATATGAGAATTTATATAAACCAGTACGCATGCTTCTTGGTAATTTTTAATTTGGAATAACTCTTAAGATAAACAACTTTTATAAAAATAAAAAATCATTTGTAAGTTGTTTTTTTCTATTGGAATCGGTAAATTAGGTTTTAAAAAAAATCGAAAACATCTAGGTCTATTTTTCATCAATTTTTTTTATTTTGTTATGGAATGACTCTTATTAGATATTTATATGGATAACCTGATCATAAACACTTGCATATTTTGTTTGCATTAGCATCCTTAACAACTGTGTTAATTGCACTATCAGAGAACATTCTTTTGTGTTTCTTTTCAGGTGAGCTGAGAGGTTTTTATATAATTTTTTGCATCTACATATACTGCAACTGAGATCACATCCAACTATAAACAAAGAATAACTTTAAAAATGTAATTATATTTATTACTATTTTATATTAATGATCATTAGCAAATACTGAATCCCTAATTAAGGAAAGTTCTTATTTGAACAGTTCAAAAAATTAGAACAGGTAACTCAAACGAAATTCACTTACCTGCAATGATTTTTCCACCCATAATCTAACAAAGATGTGGGTATCATGAGTACCTTCATCCATCAATTCTTTCCATAACCAACAATGTTTATTTCCAATGAAGCTTCCATTGATTTCATATGATTTTTACCTATGTACAGGCTTGTATGTTCTGGGGGAGCCATTTCTAATTTTAAAATCTTTACGTAATTTATATGATAAATATTTATCTAATTATAATGATTCAGATGTAGTAATTAACTAGATGTTTTCTTGAGTAGGCTAGTCTTCATTTTTCCCTACCAAAATTCCTTTTCATAATTTCTTCCGTAAGAGGACATATAGCATCATTCAGCTGTTTTCATATTTCCCTCGTAAGAACATTAAATCATTAATTTCTTTGTGAATGTACATATTTTTGGGACTAATTGGGCAATTAGACAGATCTTCCAGTTTATTTCAGTCTCGTAAATCTTTCATTTCCCTTTTATTGCTCCCAGTTACTGAAACTTTGATATGTCATAAGATTCTAGTTATTATTTGAACATGTTTTATACCCCCTAGGGATTTGAGATTTAAATGATCCTCTGTAATAGAAATGGAGAAAATGCAGTACTGACCTAAAATGGAAAGAAGCTAGACAACTCTATATGATTCAAGGTTGACTAAATGTCCCCCAGACTCAAAAAACTCATCCTTCTTTTTTTACCCACATTGAAAAATACTTTAAAGTTTTTTTCAATTATAATTCAATATTTTTTTACAATTATTTCAAATAAAATAACAAATTATTCTTAAGTTTTGAAGTATTTATTAAAAACTACAAATTCATCACAACTAACACACCAACAGTTACACACAACACAGTACAAAATTAACTTAAAATAAAATGCAAACTTGTTTCACAACTTATATGTTATATTACTTCATTATCCAAACATAGTAACATAAATAAAAACTTCTTTTGTTTGTTATGATTATTTATTTTCTCTGCTAAGTCAAGATTATTTTTTTTATTAGACACTCCCCCCCTCGCCCCAAAGTTTGTGCAAAGCAGGGGTGTTCTAATTTAAAAGGTGCGACTTGTTGCAGGTCCTAGATGTCCGAGGCTCATCTCTTGGGGATCATGAGATCTCCTGCTTCCAGTCTATTGAGAATCTGACCCACCTTTATCTAGAAGTACCTGAGAGCCGACCACTGCGCCCTGAAAACAAAGAGGAACCGCGTGTGCCCCCTAATCCACAGACTCGCAAGATGCGAGGCCCCCTTTCCACCACAGCGTGCTGTTTGTGCTACGCTAAGCGCACGCCCGAGGAAGATTTGGAGCGGCAACGGCGCACGAAGCAGGAAGTACCCATGATACAATTGGCAACTAACAGTGAGAACAGTACCATCGAGTTCAATTATGAGATGACGCTCCTTGCTGAAGAGGAGTACGGTCTGCACACACCTTTTGTTGAAGCTGATTTGGCTGAACAGCTTGACCCTGACACTCTAATTACAGACCAAGGCATAATGGCTTTGGGGACAAGAGATGTCGTTGTGTTGGACAGTGGACGTCACCCTGTGGAGACAACTGTTTTCCGAAATCCTAACCTGACTGATTTGACAATTCTTAACTGCAAAGGTGTTACAGATTTAACACTTATTCATTTAGTTATGCTGTCAAGTTTGAAGAACTTGAATGTATGTGGATGTTCAGTTACCCCTGGTGGTATACATCAGTTTCGAACCCGTCGACCTGAGGTTAAGATTGTATCAGATTATTGTGGAAAAAAGGATTGAGTATAGAATTTTGGTCTATGTTGATTTATGTATGCATTCTACTCCTGTATGGAGTTTAAATCAGATGTATCTAAAAGGTGATATGTATGTACCCTGTGCAATGCATACATAGAGAATCCTTTGCGGTGAGTGACCAGAAAATATTTGTATGTTGAGCCGTCACCATAGCTCTAACATTAAGAGCTTTAGTGTTTAAAAATGTCTGATCTATGAATATACTGAAGCCTATTCCAAGCACATCCTTTGTGCTTTTAAATGAGGTTGAAGTAATTTTCCTGAATTGTAGTGGAGTAGAAAACCAGACAAATTACCTCCTGTAAACTGCTGTTGAAACCTAGTAATTTATTTAGCATGGTGTCCTATTGACCTATGAGGAGTTGAAAGAAATAAGCATGTGTTGTAATGGATTTGTGGATCCAACAATGATGGTATAAATATCATATTTTGATTTTAGACCTATTTGCCCTGCACCTTAATTTTTATGCTTTTCAGAAACAAAACGGTCTAGAATAACTTATTCTAGATATCGCTTTTTCTCTGACTGCATTTCTCTCGTCATGTAATTCTGACTTTTATTTGTAGATGGACATCCAATCTGCTGTGGATGAATTTTTATTGATCTTTAATGCAGTAATCCAAGCTTTTATTAAATTCTATTCTTTCCTATTGGATTTGCAATTGCCCCAGATTCCGAACTCCCCTTCCAGCCTAAAGTTTCTTTAAGGATGAATACCTTGGAAGGGATAAGGAAGTAAATTTTGTGAGATTTGTTGGCAAACTCGTATTTCCAAGAATTTAAAGTTGTACAAGATTACAAAGAATTTAAATAAGATACACGATTCTAGGGGTAATGGATTTTGGAGTTTGTTGAGATGAGGATAAATTAAGTACAAAATGCTTAAAATACCATGTGATATGTCAAATATGTAGGTATATTTGTGTATTGTAGATCTAGTGCTTTGATTAAAATGGTTGTGGTTGAAAATGAATAGACCAACTCTAACACATGTCTTGGTACTTGAAGTGGACCCATCATCATGGATAAGAGAAACATTTATTATTCCTAAATTTGCATATTGTGTTTTCTTAGTGGAAAATTACAAACATCTGTGAAGAAACAGAAATGCACATGATGCCTTTGCTGAAAAATACTAGGTGCATCATGAAAAATACTATGTGCAACCATTTCAATAAAACTCTCACCAACAGAGGTCTTTCAACATCCGGGATAGCATTGTTGATGTTTGTTGGAAATTTGTAAGCAGTAAATGACATATTGTGACAACCTACATTAGTTTACTTACAAAATTCCTACACATTAAAAAAAAGGTGACAAATGCATTTCATTTAACTTAGGCTAATAAGACATGTTGGAGTGCACTATGAATAAAGTCTGATTATACAGTGAATACACATTTTTGGAAACTTGTTAATACCTATTTTCTTCCTGTGGCAAGAGGAAATTGTTCCAAATGTTTTGTTTCAACTTGTGTTCGAAGACCACATGTGTATAGTGCTCCAGAAAAGGCACTTTGTCATCATTATGGGTGTTATGTTGGAAATGGTGAGAAAAGAGTAAAAGAAATGATTTATTCAGTATGTTTTTATTTCTACAAAAGGATTTTGCTTGTTGTGAACAATTCTGGCAGTGTAATGTGAATGATGTCAGACAACTGATTTGGGTTTAACTAATATATGTCAGCGACTTCAGCCTTCAACAGCAGCTGTTGGGATATCAAGCAAGGATGGTTACAATTTCTCTTTGAGGAATGCAAAGCGATGTGTTAACTGACCAATTGGCTGTTATCACATAAAAGGGACCGTTCATAAAATAAGAAAAAAACGGTTGGCAAATTTGCTTTTATTTTTATCTCCTACCCAGCCCTTTGTAATAACCAGGACTCTGATTCTGATGACCTAACAATTCCTTAAAAAGTACTTTTAAAATTACTTTGAAATAAGGGGAAAACAGCCCAATTTTTTTAAAAATATTCAAAAATTTGTATGATTATGTTTGTTTATTCAAGGAATTTTACCATTTTAAATAAATTTTAAATTTTTATGTATGTTTATTTTAAGAGGAAACTTAATTGTTAGCTCCAATCTTCCAACCAACAATTTTGAAAGGCCGAAGAAGTTACTGAAGATCCGTGTAATTTTGAAAGTTAGAAAAACAGAGTCCACTGCAGTAGTGAATCAAGTCATGAACTGATGATACAATAAAACGTGACAAATTCACTTAATAATTGAAAAATGGCATAAAGTGACCCAATAACTACTCATTTCTAGCACCTATATGCCGTGATAAACATTGATTTACAAGTTAGCTACACCTACAATGCACTGATGAAAAAATGACATATCATCAGACTGAACCATTTTAATAACTTTGTGAAAGTCAAACACTTTATAGGATTTCCCAGCTATCCCAGGTAAATGAGGCCAAATAGCAAGGAATGTGACAGCTTCATGGTGCCAACCAATAAACAAAGTGCTACCCTGCCAGAAGAGTAGTGACCTATAAAACACCAACTTATGATAATGAGATTAACATCTTAACCCATTGAGAACCAGTGCTGAATAAGCACCAAACATTTTTTTTCTAAAAGAATATATATGAATTTCTGTGCTAGTATTTTTTTAACATTACATTTTATTGTGTTTCTCTTACTATTTATTTAATGATTTCTTTATGGGACAGTTGTTTTGGCTATAATTGTTCATAACAGTTTCACGATGATGACTTTTGAGATTTTCTTGAAAAAGTGTATTTAATGTCATATTATACACAGAACTATGCAATAGTAGGTTTCTACAACCAGTCTTCTGAAGGTTCTCAACTGTTCATTTCAACCATTATAACATGGTCTTCTTCTGGGCTGGGGTAACTCCATCCCTGAAGAAGACTACAATAGGATGATTGAAATATCAGCATCACTGCTCTCAAAGCGGCGCCACATTGGACAGCCGATAGCCTTCACAGACTATTGGTGAAAGTAAACATCTCCATTACTAATTTCCAATGCGTGCAGAAATTGAAAAAAAAAACTGTCACCTCTGTTCGTTTGAGAGGAATTATAGTTATTAGATACCCAGAAACTCTGGAAATATTAATGTAAATATTATAATATTCATGTCTATTATTTTTAAAACATCTTTCGTAAATAGCCCTTTTCCGAATAAACTACTCGATCTCGGCCAAAAAGGTGTTATTAATTTCAAATGTGCACAGAAATTGTAAGAAATTCATGCAGCTTCTGGCCCTGTGAAAATATCTATGGTGTTCTTAGATAGCCAAGACCTATAGAAAACTCCAAATACACTGAACCTGATTGTGTTATTCCAACTATTCTGGTTCTACATGTTCTGTCTGAATTCTTATACTGTACAGAACTGCTTACTGCAGAAGTGATGTGACAGTAGGCTTCAAGGAAGAAGCTGCTAGCCATTAAATACTTGCTACTCGCATGTAACTATAATTTTCTCGGTATGTAAAGAACTGTAGTTTTGTGTATATGCCACCCTATGTTATTGCAATTATGAAGATTGCAATAAATAAAATATTTTAACTAAAAACAGTGATGTGCAAGAGTTGTTTAGCAGTGTGCATGCTACTTCTGGGGAAACTATTTTTTGTGGTTTTGTTCAGTAGCATTGTAACTATAGTAGTATTACTGTATATATTTCAAGGGAAATTTTATGTATAGAAATAATTCATCAATGGAATCAGCATTATTGTGTGTGTTATCTATTTAAGTGATTTATGGTCTCGACAATACGGCTCAATTTTTATTTTCCCGTATACATACGTATATACGGAGTAATATACATAGTATACGGAAAGTTATATAATGCGCGAAAATACGGCGGATTTTCGGCAGAAAAAAATCATTGCCGGGCCCTGATAACGAAGAAGTGGATAAATCCAGTTGCTAAATGAAGAATAAAAACCCTCTAACTCGTGGTGTAGTCAGAATCCCTGTTTCATGGGTCCTTGATACCGAAAAACCAATTTACGGCGAAAGTCTTGTCTGTCCGTGCGTCCGTCCGTCCGTCTAAACGCCACTAGCCCCCAAACCATTCGTACGATTTTTTCTAAAATGAATATTCCCGGTCGATCTGGTTCCACTCAAGACGTGATTTTGAAACACTTTCTTCAAAATCTGGGGTACTTTATATGAAGCCCCCTGAACATTTTCAAAATTTTCTCAAAAACAGCTCCAAATTTTTTCTTTAAATATCTGGTAAGAATAGAGCAAAATATACACATAGATGTCATGGATCATATTTTCACGGTTAACTCGAATATTTTGCAAAATGCGAATTTTTTTCGGCTTCTTCCTATAACTACAAAATTGAGATATTTTCCCTTCAAATAAAATTTGTTCTTCATTGTCAGTTCTCTTATTAAGATCATTTACATTTTTTAACATTTAGCAGTTTTCGTGCAATATGAGCAAATTTTAAAAAATAACAAAAACATGATTTTCTCAAAAAAGGCTCGAATTTTTTTCTCCAACTTTTTACTATACACAGTGCTAAATGTACTTTGTGATATGACTGAAACGCAATGTTCCTCTATTCTTTTGTTTTTTGTAAATGTACAAAAAAATTTTTTTTTAACTTGTCTCTCACTGTTTATATTTACATTAGCGGCGATTTGTTCACAGTACTATATTTATGAGTACAAGTGCTTTAGATAATGTCAAATACACTTTTCTGAGACTTTTATGAGAAAACACTCAAATCCCGCGTATTAAAAAAAGCTCAAATGTCATTTTCTCATAATTTTTTTCTTCAAACTTTTCGAACGGATAGTGCTACTTACACTATTTAATATGACGTAAAGTTAATTTTGGGGTATTTTTTTCCCCAAAATTAAACAAATGTAATTCTTTTGAATGATATCTCACGCAAGCACATTTCTAACATATTGTAAAAACCATTGTATTTGTGAGTTAATGTGCTATTTTCTCCAAAATCATTTTTTTATCGTTCTAGCTGATGTCGCGGACACTGGAATTTGAAAACGATTTTTAATTTTGGGGGTACTTTAAATAATGCCACTGGGACATTTTCACAATTTTCAAAAAAGTGGCTCCAATTGTTTTAATTAAATTTTGTTGCTGAATTGTGCAAAGGACTTATAAGGGAATGATGCAAGTTTCATTTTTGTTAACATCCCCGATATTCCAAAAATTTGAAAAAAAAAAAAAATTAAAACTCAAAATTAGTGACTGAAATTTTTTTGTCTCAGACAAAGTCTGTTGTACAAAATTAGCTTTTCAAAAAAGGTCACGTACAAGTTTTTGAAAAAAAGAGTAGTTTTGCGTAATTTCTGCTTCAAATTAATGGAATATATACAGGTTTCACAGTAACTAAGAGCTACAAGAAAAATTGATTAAATGGCATGAAAAATATTTCATTTAATTTTAACTATAATTTCCTATTGGAAATGCCACTATTAATTCTATTACTTTCCCCGTATACGTAGTTTAGGGAAAGTCATGTAATGCTGTGGAAAATCGATTTCGAGATTTCAACGGAAACACACGTTTTGGGGACCCCTGATACCGAAGAAGTGTTATTTTTCAAAACGTCCTTCTGTCTGGTTAGTGAACACTACTAGCGCCTAAACCATACGTAGCATTTTTTTTCAAATTGAAAAACCTCTTGTCTATCTGGCTCGAGTCGAAACTTTGAGGTTATGAAAAACATTCTTCAAAATTTGGGGGTAACTACATGAAGTCCTCCGGACATTTTCAAAATTTTCTCAAAAACGTCACCAAATTTTTTCTTTAAATTTCTTGTAAGAATAGAGTAAAATACACTTTGGTTTAATAAAAGTTGGCGTAGATCTGATTTTCAGGTTTAACAGGAAAATTTCAAGTTTCTTCGGGCGTCTTTCTGCAACTACAAAATTGAAGATAGCGATTTTTCCTTCAAATGATATTTGTTCTTCATAGTGAGTTCTCTCATTAAGGTCATGTACATTGTTTTGAAAATTTGGTAGCTTTCGAGCAATATTGTGTTAAATATTTGCAATTTTAAAAAATATAAAAACAAGATTTCCTCAAAAATGGCTAAAATTTTTTTCTTTAAACTTTTGGTAGGGATAGTATTAAGTTCATTCTTTAAATTGACAAACGTCATATTGCTCTATTCTTGTTTTTTTTCGAAAAATACAAGATATAATTTATACACCTGCCCGTAGACAAATTGATACTACAAAGTAGTTAATCAACATATTATACTGTAGATAAAAATTTGAAAAAAAATCTAAAAGAATAATGATGTGGACTATGAATTCTGACAAAAAGTAGTCAATATTATCTTTTCTAATTCCAAGCAAGTCATGAAAAATCATTAAAAATCTGTCAGCCAACTCTTGCCATATATTATACAGTATGCAATTTATTCATTGGTCGAGGCAATGAACGTTACATCTAGATGTCTTAATGCAAGATAGTATTTAAATGTAGACTATCTCATCATTTGCTTTATGGATCTAGGAAAACGAAAAAAACCTGATCGAGGTGGAGATTGGTGAAAGATATGCACAAAACGTTACAGATGTTTCATTTTTACCAAACAACGAATATTTAATTACATATTATTTACATAAATTTATATATTATGAACATATAATTATACCCCTAATATTTACAAAAAATATTCGCAACTTTTTTATTTTTTTAAACTTTTCTTGCCCTTACAAAGGTACTTCGTAAGACCGGGAGAGGTGCTCCGGGAATCAACTGATGTCACTGCAGTGCTTCTGACCGGGAGGACCTAAGTTCGAGTTCACTTCGGTGCCAGGATTTTCAACACTAGCTTATCAGCTAGGCCAAATTCAGTCGCTGTCTGGAGGAGGATTCAAGCGGCCGGCGACTCTGATCAGTTTTACGTGGTTTCTCCAATCAACAGCAGGCGAATGCCGGAGCAGTACCTAATATACGGGCCACCGACTACGCGCGACCTTTCCTTCCCCTTGTCCTGTCCTCACCTTTTACTAACACACACTTTCACTTATATGCACTACACTACTACTAATAATTTCAGAGGCGTTGATGAAAACGTGTTAATGAGCTCTTTTTATAAACATAATTTGCCCTACATGAGCAAAAAGTTTAAAGAACTTTTTGGAGCTATTCTTTAAAAAAAATGAAAATTTGCGAGCGTTTTTATATTAAGTATTTTTAAAACTTAAAAGATCCGTTTCAATTTTGAGGGTTCACGAAATCATCGAATCAATCGG